ATATATATATATATATATATATATATATATATATATATATATATATGTATATATATATATAGTCTCAATATTGTACACTCCTGATATAATCAAGAGTGTATTAAGAAGGTATTTATAATGTTGTTGATCAATCGATGTATGTATTTTTATAGGGTTTCGCTGAGGTTTTCGGCTGACCCCACGCCACCATGAATTATGTCTACAATATGGGGAAGCTGCTGATCAACTTCAAGGATTTCTACAATGAGATCAACGCGGCGACGCTTACCGGTGCCATCGACATTGTCGTCGTCAAACAAGAGGACGGCACGCTCTGTGGCTCGCCGTTTCACGTTCGCTTCGGAAAGATGGGAGTGCTACGCAGCCGGGAAAAAGTTGTACGTTGATTGTCGTTGTGTGAATCGGCCAAATTTGCAATTCGAAAAAGCGCGGTGGTATCAGACACCACTATTCAGGCTACCACGCGAACGTACATCGCTTATTTTCATAATTGATGTTACGAACTTGACAGTAGTTGCTTTTCAAACTTTCAAAACTATGCGAACCATTTGTGTATTCGATAATAATTCGGTGGTGGCCCCCTGGCATTTGTAAATTTGAGGTGAAAGAAGAAAACACGTTTTCCAAGGTGCAGAGTCGGTAGCGGCATAGCCTATATTTTATACAGTTTGTTAGCATCTGTTTCATAGCAGAAAGCTATGATCTTACTATGACCTGGTTAAGCCAGCTCTCATGATTGTGAATATGGCTTACTAAAGCACGTAATACAATAACACATGCACTGATTTTTCGAATATATCCGAATATTCGCTTTATCCTGATTTGCAGTAAAAGGGAGGTTTCGTGACTGGTGAATTGTGTTATAAGTAAAGTGGTAGTAGCAGCAACTGTCGTAGTAGTGGTAGTAATACAGAAAGCAGTAGCAGTGCTCAGTAACAGCAGCAGTAATGGCAGCACTGAAATTGTAGTTTTAGTTTTAGTTTAGTTTGCTCATTGTAATGGTGATATGAACATGTTAGCCGGAATGAATAATGACAAATTCATTGTTATCAATGTCATTAATGTCAACAATGTCATTATTCACCCCTGATGTTAATGAATGTGTAGCTATCACTGAAAACTAGTGTTCACATTCTAGGTCGACATTACAATTTTAATAGAGAAGAAGTAAATATCCAGATGAACCTGTGGTTTTAGTTTAATTTGCACGATGTAATGCTAAAATAAACATGTTTGTGAATGTGTAGCTATCACTGAAAACTAGCGTTCGCATTCTAGGTCGACATTGTAATTAATGGAGAACAAGTAAATATCCAGATTAAGCTGTGATTTTAGTTTTAGTTTACTTCACACAATGTAATGCTAATATAAACATGTTTGTGAATGTGTAGCTATCACTAAAGAGGGGCTTATGTCGGGCTTGCGAGCTGACTCGACTGGAAGCAACTGGATTTTGAGCAACTGGAAGCGATCGGCTGCGACTAGTTGCGTCCAGTTGCCCACTGTTCTATTCCGAGTAACTAGTGGCGGCCAGTCGCAGGCAGTCGCGTCGCAGTCGACCGACCTAAGCTCTGCAGTCGCAGTGAATTGCAGCCAGTTGCTTCCAGTTGAGTCGGCTCGCATGCCCGACATAAGCCCTTAAAAAGCCCCTTAAAAACTAGTCTTCCCATTCTAGGTCGACATTGTAGTTAATGGAGAACAAATAAATATCCAGATTAAGCTGTGTTTTTAGTTTTAGTTTACTTTGCACAATGTAATGCTAATATAAACATGTTAGTGAATGTGTAGCTGTCACTGAAAACTAGCGTTTGCATTCTAGGTCGAAATTGCGATTAACGAAGAACAAGTGAACATCCAGATGAAGCTGGGAGAGAGTGGAGAGGCATTCTTTGTCGAGGAGATCCCTGCCCATCTTCAGATTCCTCCTCATCTGGCGACTTCCCCCATACCAAGCAGCTCGGTTCTCAGCACGGGGGAACTGCACGCGCGCCTGATGGAAATCGAGAAGAACAGCTGTGATACGCCAGAAGAGGGCGCCACGTGTCGCGTCATCGTCGCCGGCGAGGCGCGGGTCAGCGACGGCAGCGTCTCCTCACCAGATGGCGCCGGTGCTCAGCTACCCAAGCAGCCGCAACACTTCGACGTTTTCGATTCACCGGACAAGGGCAGCAGTGCGATCTCCCTGCCTAACGAGACAGTCCCCGGCTCTCTCGAAGGTCTCGCAGAGGCAGTCGAGACCACATCTGAGGCCACACCTGAGACCACACTTGAGGCCACATCTGAGACCACACCTGAGGCCACACCTGAGACCGCCGCTGAGACTGGAGCTGAGATGGTGGCCGAGACCGAAACTGAAACAGAAACCGAGGAAGGCACCGAGACGGGAGTGGAAATTGTCGCCGACGCGGCGGAGACGCCAGCCGAGACCGTTGTCGTGAGCGGAGTCGAGACGCAAACCGAGTCGCTAGCCGAGACCTCGCTCATCGCGAGCACGCACGAGACGTCACCTGAGACGAGTGCGGATAGTGAAGTCGAGGCGCGAGACGACGACGGCGACGGCGACGCCGCCGCGGACGAAGACTGCGACCGAGAGGTCTCAGAGGCGTGCGACGTCATGCCCAACCGCAGCGCGACGACGCAGACTGAAGGACCGGCGGCCGACTATGCGCTGTTTGCCTCGTCGGACACCAGGGGGCGCCGGCGGCGCAGGAAGCGGACGGTCGCGCGCGCGAGGGTGAAGTCGAGTTTACGGCCCGAGGCCCCGGATCTTGCCGGGGATTTCGGAGAGGACATATTCCAGTTTGACGGCGACGATGAGGGCGCTTGTGAGCATCCTCCACCGGACAGTGGCGAGGTGGAGGTGGAAGCGGAGAGGAGGGAGCCGACCGGCGGTCTCCCGGGTGCAGGCTGGAGGCGGGATTCCTACCTGGACTTTCACCCGTTCAGCGACGGAGACATAACGCCGACGGTCAGGTGAGACAGTGGCGTCGGAGCAGTTACGAGCTGCAGACGCTTTGCAGGGATCAGGAATCCACTCGGGACTCTCGATGACTTTTTGTTAGTCAATGCTGAGTTGGTTTTGTCTCGAGATTAACCGCTAACCTATGCCACAACCGTCTATTGAGTAGGTGTAATGCCGTACGTAATTTATGTACACCTCACCACCCTTCATATTATTTATTATAGATGACACCTAGTTCAGATAAGAAAAAAAGCCTGCTGCCTGATATAATGTCGTTTGCGATCACTCTAATCTTTATAGTTGAACCATCCTGTCAGGACCATGTTCTAGTCAGATTCACAGACTACATGCTGCTAATATAACTGTATTTAAAATTCGCATATCTAAAATCAATAGAAACAAAATCATGTAGACAAATTAGATCTCACTTATTAGCAGACACATTACCGATTACTCCAGTATACCGGTAAGTATTGTAATGGTTGGGAAAACATGAAAACGGTCAGGAAGGTTGTTCGAAATTCGTACTTTTAAGTAGTACCATCGCGACGGACGTCACATCTTGAATGTTATCGGAAATCCACTCGACATTTGGAGTAGAACGTTGTACAATAGTGTAGATGGATAGTTGTCGTAGAGAGTTGACGACACGGTGGTCAAGCGTTGCAGTGAGTTACGAGTGTCGCTACGGTCGCTTTTCCAGTCCGGCCAACTCTCGGCCTCCGAGTCCGAAGAGCGACACGGAGTACGAGCGGGAAGCGATCGCGCGCCGCCATGACGCCACGTGTCAGACGCCGGACGAGATGACGTGGTTGTGGGGCGAGCTGCCTGCGCGGAGCAAGAGCGAAGCGACGACACCGGTGAACGCTGACAAGACGGCGTCGGCAGGTGAGCAACGCAGGGGGCAGCACTGTAGCCGGAGGTGCCGAGTCGGTTAGTTACCAGGGGGCAGCACTACAGCTGGAGGTGCCGAGTCGGTTAGTTACCAGGAGGCAGCACTGTAGCTGGAGGTGCTGAGTCGGTTAGTTACCAGGGCGCATCACTGTAGCTGGAGGTGCCGAGTCGGTTAGTTACCAGGGGGCAGCACTACAGCTGGAGTTTCTGAGTCGGTTGGTTACCAGGGGGCAGCAGTGTAGCTGGATGTGCCGAGTCGGTTAGTTACCAGGTGGCAGCAGTGTAGCTAGCGAAGGTCAGTGAGTTAGTTACCATAGATTAGTTTCAAGGATTTAAGTTTTTTAACTATAATATTATGATAATGTATTAACATGTTTCATGTATTATGTCATATGTATTAATTATTTAGCATTATTGACATTATGTATAACATTTATAATATAATACTATATAATTATATACATGTAATAATATCAACATTATGTATAATATCTATATTACACACTCCTGACCATAATTCGTCCTTCGTGTGAAACGCTTGCAGATCTGGAGGAACAGCAGCGATGGCTCGGCAGCATGTTCCAGTTCATGAGGAAGACTAAGAAGATCCGTCGGCAGGCGAGCGATGGGATCTACCTTGACGAGCTCAGCCTAACGAACCTGGATCCTGACACGCGGGCACTCTACTTCCCTAAAAGGTTCGTGCTGTGCATAATGTTCCACTTAAAGTGATTACGTCACCGTAAATACAAAAAAACAAAAAAAACAATGGTGCATTATACTTCCTATTTTACTATATTGTTCGATGTGAACATACACTCGTGACTCATACATAGCCCATAGCAAGCAATTAATGTTGAGGACATTAGTTCAAATCGTCCAGGTTTTTTGGATATTTAACTAGTTGAGAAACAATCTTATCAGGTAAGAATTTGACGATTTGTTTAGTCCTGTTAGTTCTTACTTTTAATGTTAAAAAATGGCAATTTTTTTTTACACATTTTACCATAGAAAATTCGTGACATAGTCCCTTTAAATATTTAGATAGCCATTTAAATCTTTTCACTTAAATAGTGTTTCACCTCACTCTCTGTTTAACAGATGTACTTACTGTGAGTATGTGAGTAAGATTGAAGATTGAGTGCGCCTTGCCGCGGAACTGCGCGCAAGATCTGCGCTTAGCGCTTCGGATTAACACCTCCTTTCGGCAACGCTTCTCTAGTATCCCGTCTCATCTGGTTTTTTCGCCTTAGTATCTACTAGTTTATTATCTTATTTAAAATTGACGCCTTAATTATACTTTCTTACGAACATTCTTATGTGTCACACTAATAAGAACAATGACGTTTATTAAAACCTAAATAGTGGTGAATCGAATAAATTATCTGATTTAAAATTAAACTAGAATGGGTGGCCTACCTATGGAAATAGCCTTCCCTTATTGACTGTCAGCACTCACAAGTGTTAAATACTTATATATCGGCACTGGGGAGCCTTAATTTTTTGTGTTTTAAAGTTTCATCAGATTACAGCAACTAGCCAAAAGGTTGCTATGTGCTCTGGCAGGTCTCCAAACCACCAAGTGCATTTGGTTATCTGATTATTAAGATACGAGTCGCCTAGATAGCACCCGTAAAATAATCATGTGCTTGAAGTCTGTGCATATTTATTTGTATTGTTGATGTAAATAACGTGATGACAGGTATCCTCACTGCTTTGGTGCAGGTGTAGTACATGGTACGTGCCTGTATTCAAAGGATAAAAAGGGAAAAAATAACTTTGGGTTGGAGGAGTTTGTTGAATTTAAGGCGGTAAAAATAAGGGAGTCTATTGCAAAATGATGGAGTCCACTCATAAAGCTAAAAACTAAAACTAACAATATCACTAACATGTTGAAATAATCGCATTATATATTATATGTCATTTAATATGCTGTACGCTACTGCAGAATATGATTTTAAAATGGTAAAAACAGTATTGTATTAGTTTTTCTTAGTTCTGTGGTTATGAGAATTTTCAGAATATTTGGAGAGTCATGCCGACTCCCACACCCCAGGTCAGCGAGTTAATTTTGACACCCCACTTATTAAATATATACATGTGTCACATAACCAAAAGTGCAAGCGAAGTCTTTCCGTGAATCCAAGGCCATGTCCTGGGGGGGAGGGGGAATTTTCCTCTTGGATTTTTAAGAAACATAAATAAATAGCATGCATACTAAATTTGAATGTGAAAATGGCAAATAACAAATGGAATTACCCATAGTGCTGACCCAGACCTCTTCAATATAATATATAGTGTTGTCAATCGGTTGTAATTTCTTAAATCGATCATCGGTTGGGCCCAAGTAACTCGGGGTGTTGAATGCCTGCGTGTGCGTAACATCGTGTGCATGTATGTGTGTGCATGTATGTGCTTGTTTAGCCCTGTTTACTGTTTGTTTTGCACTGTTTACTACTGTGTGTATTATACATGTATGTTAATAAAGGATAACTTGTATAGTAGCGATGATATCTCTGATTCTCATTACTTTTCCCAGTGACAGTGTTCTTGTTCAAGTTTTACATTTATTTAGATTTTTTTTTTCCTGATGAAATCGATTATGGATTTATTATAACCAAGCGCTTGGTTCGAGCCACTGTTCAACCGATGATCGAGTATAATCAATGATCGTGACATCACTAATAATATCTATATATATATTTGTATATATAATAATATATATATCAAGTGCTAATAATATATTATTATTAGAGCTAATATTCATTTATTGTATTATTAGCTCTTGATATATATATATATGTGTGTGTGTGTGTGTGCGTGTGTGTGTGCGTGCGTGTGTGCGTGCGTGCGTGAATGACCTTCAGCTCAGGTTACGGCTGCTTGATGAAGGTCACAGCTCGCTTAATGTGATCTGCGCTCGATAGCATCTCGTGTCACCATTACTTGCAGAGATGTCACGGGGAGGATCACCCACCTTGCTGAACTGACGGACGAGCAGGACGCAACGTCACCGCGCCATGTCACGTCCTCCGGTGACGAAGACGATGAGTCGGGTAACGGGCCTTCCCTGCCCCGCTCCCCGGGAAGTTTCCAGGATGGAGTGGACAGTGTGTGCTGCAGCTGCGGGCAGACGAAGGCCGGGTTCACGAGCAAGTGGTGGGTGTTGTTACTTGATAACGTATATATTTACTGTTTCAACTGATAGGTGGAGGCAGCACCTAATGTAATAGATGGAGCTGTGGTACACATGCCCTGTGCTCTCTCTCTCTCTTTCTCTCTCTCTCTCTCTCTCTCTCTCTCTGTCTCTCTCTCTCTCTCTGTCTCTCTCTCTCGCTCTTACTCTCTCTCTCTTTCTCTCTGTCTCTCTCTCTCTCTCTCTTGCTCTTTCTCCCTTTCACTCTCGCTCTCACTCTGTCTCTCTCTCTCTCTCTCTCTCTCTCTCTCTCTCTGTGTGTGTGTCTCTCTCTCTCTCTCTCTTGAGAATTATTACAGCCACCTGGCACTACCTGGTCAAGCTCTGTAGTCAGCCTTTATGTACAGAACGTAACAGGCATGTCTCGAGGCGTGTTGCCGACGCTTAATCCGTCGCAGTTCAACAACTGTTGGCAGCATCCTTCAGCATCTGATGCCTGTTGCCAAGATTTGAGCTGCATATGCGTATGTGGGAGGCGGACATGGTGTTGCATGAAATAGGGCAATGCTATGTTGACTGTATTCGCAAACACGAGTTGTTTTGCACAAATATTTTGGTGTTGCACGAAGTAGAGCGCTGCTATGTTGACTGTATTCGCGAACACGAGTTGTTTGCTGTGTTGACTGCAAACACGAGTTGTTTGTGCAAATATTTGTGCGTCGTACAGTGCTCTACTTTGCACAACATTTTCTATGAGCAAATATACTAAGATAACATGTGTATGTGCGTGCCTGCGTGGGCGCGTGCCTGTGTGCGTGTCTCTAACGGTCCTAAATTTAGTGTGTCTTGTTGAAGTGAATTTTGATTAGCCTTGTCTGTTAACTTGCTTAACTAATATGTTACCTCCAAAAAATGTAATTCATCAGTGTAAGTAACATAAATTAAATTGAATTGAATTGAATTTGAACCGTACTATTCACGTGAACTGTTTGGCGGTGAGTTTCAGCTTAGGTTGCGCATAGGTTTTTTTTAAGTAAACAAGACAAGAAACAAATATGTTTACAGAAACCAATGCGACATAGTCGCCTGAGGCCTCGTGCCTCATGAGGGCCTGAAAGATCAAGCGCTTTTTAGCTGTTTCTTTAACTGTTCAATTGGCACTATAGCAGAAAATTTTCAGGACCTATTGCAGTACGCATGTGCAAAGTTTCACAATTCTAACCAAAAGTGCACAATGTGCCCATTTTTATGTGCTGTAACATGTGTTTTGCGCGTGTTACATGAAGTAGTCAGCGAGGCTATAAACTAGGGTTGTTTGCTGACCAGTTAGTCTGCGTAAACGCAGCGTCGCGCATATTGGGCGGCTGCATTGATGTTACAGGGAGTTGGATAAGCGGGTTTTAGGTTAGGCAGTTTCTAGGGTCATTGTAAAATGGGGGTAGGACGCGGTCTGGGAGAATGGGTACATGTGCGTGGAGTATGTTTGTAGGAGTTTTGGAGGGAATATATAGAAGAGAGATGTAAGGGGAGAGGGGTCGGGTTCTGATCGCGAGAGTACGCGCACGCGCGACCGCGCGTGTGCGCGGGCGGGTCTTTGTCTGTGTGTAAGGAGATGTGATGTGTGTAAGATATTAAAGGTTATACAGTTTACCACACAAGTTCTAGATTTGGATCTACTTCATCATTTCTACATGAACGCTCATTCCTCATTACAGTGCTTGCATGCTTATGATCCACTGTAACTAACTATTCGCGTGAATGATTTGCGTTTTTTACAGCTTTGACAGACCCACGGACTGTGACGACCTTGCGATCTCGCTGTGCGGGGGTCTGGCTGAGAGTGACATGGAGATAACAGAGGAGAGGTTCATGCAGTACCTCGTCACCTACCAGGAGTTCTGTGCTAACCCGACGCTGCTCTCGAACCCTGACACAGTGTTTAGGATCCGGGGCAGGTGGGTTGTAACCGTGACTACGATAAACGGTCGTTACTGGAAGCGCATGCCCTGTATATTACATTATAAGAACAGGGGGTAATAATGACAAATTTTACACTAATGACAAAATAATGACAAATTTGTCATTATTAATCGGGATAATAGGTATGAAGGAGTCGATTTAATCTATCGACGGTAGGGCACGAAGGCAAACATTCCTTTCATGAAATTGTTATCAAGGTAACTTACTGTATGATAGCACTTTTTAACCTGCTTATTTATTACATACACTACGGTTGTACACAGCATCTGCAGTTTGTTGCTGTGGACGTTGGGCACTTTTCAAGGGGTCACAGCAAGTAAGAAGGGAAACGTGCAGTTGCCCATCAGTGCCACGCTAAAATACGAGCTCTGATAAATGCAAGAACAACTTGCCTCGTATAAGTAGCAAATGAATCCCCGTGGGTGCATCGGATGCGAATCGTGAAACGTTTGCGGACGTCCTTTCATCCTTTTGATAATAGTAGGGTTTCTTCTGAGGGCAAATTAGACAAATGAGATAATGGCCAGTTTGGCAAAAAAACGCGCATGATGGATTCAAATACAGGATGTATTGATATACTTATAGGATATAAATACAGGATATACTTATCAGTAAATACAGGAACATTTTCACAACGGCGATGTTAAATTTGACAACGGCGGTGTGCCACTGTGCCTCCTATGTATAAGAAACCCTGCATAGCTATATTTCGCTTACGTTTTGTTTATATACTGTTTTACTCTCTTCATGGAGGCTGTAGTAGCTAGCTCTCTAAGAATTTAGAAAGTAAGATGTAAAGTGATGACTGTCAATATACACTGCTATTTTTTTAATAATTTTTTTATTTTAAGTTTATAGGTGATATTTCATGTGTAAATTGGAATAGGTGCACGTATAGAGAAAAATGAATACAGAAATGTGCGGTACTTATTAACTATTACAATACTGTAATAATTAGATTAATTATTACAGTACTAATTACAATACTGACTAAAGCTGACTTTGTCTGTTTTTACGTAGGTATGTCAACTCACACGTAGCAGTGCCCGGGCTGATGTGTCATCTATTATTCCAGAACTCATTGCCACAGGTGAGTCAAAATACATCTCATAGGAGACAATATGTTATAAAAGGATTTGTGACTCGCATTTTGGTAAAAGTCCAAAAATTGTCCACGTTTACATGCATTGTTTTAGTTGCTAATGTCAGTGCTATTGTGTTAGTGTCAACTGAAATAAGTGAGCCAGTGTAATGAATTCATAGACGATACAGTTTCACGCGTTCCATTTTGACAGCTATATGAAACATTAGAAAATATTCTCTTAATTATGTCTATATGAGCGACTGGCGTAGCCAGGTTGTGCTGATTATGACCACTTTACTCTATAACATGTGCATGTATGCCTCTGTTATTTAAAGGGAGAGTTTACTCTAGGTTCTAGGGTTATTTTCAGCTAATTTAGGTTATAATTACGCTACATAAAAAGTTTCATGGTTCAATCACCATTAAAAATATTTATTTTTAATGTTTTAAAACTAACGACTACAGTTTGATTACAACGACGGTGGCGCCACTCAATGCGCACGATCTGATAAGTTGCGCAAAACCACTTTCCAGCCAAGGGCTACAGACCGAGGGTGTTTCTTATTTATTCATTTAAAAGCAAAATGATTGTAATATCTTATAAACGACATATAGTTTCAGTTATAATATGGATAAATTTGCCCTAAAATGAATATCGTTCGGTTAAATAGCATTTAGGTATAAATATAATTGCACTTTTGTGATTAGCTCATTGGTCTGTAACGTGCAAAATAAATGGTCAAATACGCAACTTTTTCGGGGTGGCAGCACGGTCGCGGGTGTCATGGCGCCATTCAAATTTCGTAGCGTTGATGTGTAATTAATTATAACAATTAAATTAGGTATCTGGTAACAAATACGTGTGGGTATAGACGATTTGTTATACAGTAAGTACAGTTGTATGCAGTAAAATCCTAGAGGCTACTGTCCCTTTAATGGGTAGGTTACTACTTGATTTAAAGAGAAACATTACTGTAGGTTAACAATAAAACTGAATGCCTGGTAACTGAAGTATGTAGGCATATCTTATTTCTAATGTAATACGTATATATATTACGTATTACAAATATACGTAATCATAATATATCCTTGGCTCAATTCTAGGCTATTGTTCTTCATTAAACTGTTCTGAAATTGTTTAGTTTACTCAGCCAAAAATACTAAATTGTAAATTTTATTTTCAGACTTGTATCAATGAGCTTATCAGAGAATATATCCCAAAAAAGAAGAAAGAGGCATCTCGCAAAACATCTTGGTTTCCATGGCGACGAAGCATTTCTAGTGTAAACGACGAGGATGGGTCTAAAGAGATCGGGAAAAAGGTAACGATCGCTGCTGTATATGGAGACTTCACCCTGTAGTAGCACTGTCAGTCACTGATTTCCACGTGGTTCACAAGCAATCTTCCCAAGCGACTATAAATTCCTCGACTCGTAACATATTGCGTGCACTGTTGTTTGTTAGGAGGATGTTGTGAACAAATATGCTTCTACAGCTGCAACAACCGAGGAAATTCCGACCACCACGTATGAGGGTGTGGATATTCCAGGCACTGGACTCATGGCGTCTGTATCTCTTTCTACATTTGATAACAACAGCTTCTTCTTTTGTAACCATATAATAAATAATATGATTGAAACCATTTGCACCACCAATGATATTCTACCGAGAAAGTAATTTATATGAAAGAATTTTTGCTATTGTCATTGCCACTCGCAAGCCTCTAACCATATGAAGCACATGAACTTTTTCCCTGTTGCATGTAGTGCAATGTCTTATGCTCCACATTCATCCTAACAACGGCAGGTTTATCGATATTGCAGTTGACTTATTGATTGTGATTTGTGCTGTCGGAGCCACACGAAATGCTTGTATGTAGAAGACGACTAGAACAGCATCACTTTGGGTTTCAGCCACAATGGCTTCGTTGTCTTACAGGAATGAGGAAGTTGACGGTCTCAGCAGTGACACGGAGCAAGCATTGAGTGTGAAGGGTCTGCCCGTACCTGTTGAATACTGCCTGACGGAGGACGTCGAACGCTTCAAGAAGTCTATCCGTCTGTCGCCAGAGCAATTGGTACGTCCGTGGCTATAGTATAGGCATCACTCACATCACACACACATGCACACACACACGCACACGCACGCATGCTCACATACACCCACATACACACACACACACACACACACACACACACACACACACACACACACACACACACACACACACACACACACACACACACACACACACACACACACACACACACACACACACACACACACACACACACACACACTACACGTACTACGTACTACTACTACGTACTACTACTACGTACTACTACACGTAACTAACTACGTACGTACGTACGTACTACGTACGTACGTACGTACGG